TTTTGTGCCTGTCCAGTTACAGATCACTGAAACATCCCTGTAATCTGACAGCTTTTTCAGACATTTGTGTGCACTCAGATTCAGCTACATCCACCCTGAAATCACACTGCAGCGCTGTCTTGTACCCTTGCTTGTTGAAAACATCAGCAATCACTCCAGCTGACTTACAAAGAGTCTGGGTTGGACTCACGTTGTGAAACACTCCAGTTAAACTTATTAAGTCTAATCGGTGTGGTAATGTTGAGCGCTGTGCAACATCCCACTCCCACATTCCTTAGGTTAAAATGATTTCGTGCTTTGCAGCCCTGCCTCATAACTCTCAGTTAGGGAAGCCCTTTGGAAAGCTTTCCCTGCTCCYCRTGATTGTTTTCTTCAATTYGTTTTTKTTTTWKTWTTWTTWTTATTATTTTTAAAAAGCGACGTTTYTTAACTTCARAGCCAAAGGGYTTAAAAYCAAAATTATGCTCAATTTTTCTGAAGTCWTTTTGAATGTGATACTGATTTAACTGGCCTGCAAAGTAAATGGATGCTATCCCATATATTTTTCATTACTTCATTTACAGAAAGATGCTATAAGCTAGTTACTTTTCATTATAGTCTGTGATAGCTGGCCTCTCTCAAACGAGTTTTGCAAGACCTTCCAAAAATAGCAGAGGGCAAAGGTCGTGCTTCATTAAAACCAACCTGCTGGACTTAATTCCAGTAGTGGCCCACAAATTCTTAAAATTCTGATAGTATTCTCGAATTGTACGAAAAACCCAAATTGCCTGAAGAAACAACAGTACTCAAAAGCAAAATGAAGACGWAGCCCTTCTGTTTACAGTCAGCTTTTTATCTTGCTCCTATCAGCAAATATGATAAAAGAGTATTCCCTGTGCAAGTCATCCTTTAATGCAGGGAGTGGCAAAGCCAGTGGGAGGCACCGAGCAGACTTTGGGAAACATCCACGTGCTGCTTCTCCTCCTGTCAGCCCCTTCCAGGAGTTCTTCTGAGGAGAAATCTCTCAATCACAGCTCCAAAACCAAACCTCCTGTTCAGACATGACACAAATGAGGCACAAACACAAACCTGTGGTCACAAAAGGAGAGGATGCCACAAAATAATACAAAATTTTATGAAWGTATTACAGGTGTTGCTACACCCTAAGTAGTTAAGAACATCTTTATAGTGCACAAATATAAAAGTGCATTGAGGGAAACTTCCTGTGCTCGACTGAAGTTAAAGGGAATGTGATGGAACAGAACCAACACCTGTAAAATGACAATTGAACCCACAAACACCCCATATCYCATTAAAGGTCTGATATGAAACCATCTGGGGTTTTTGCTATGTGTTCCCATTTAATAGCAACCAATGGCTTCTATAAATTAATATAATTCCTATAATTTTCATTTTTACATTGTAGTTTGCAAATTTACATACCAAAAAATTAAATCAATGCACATAGTGTCAAGAGGCCTTAAATACCTCGATGCAGATTTAAAACATTCTGTTTATATCACATTACTTAGGCTCCTATTTTGTACTTTTAAATTCAATGCTGTCCTCAGAATATACATTGAGCACAAGAGTGTTTTATCACAGAAAATGATGATCAGCTATTTCACCTGGAATTCTCTTTGACACAAACTAAGACATAACTGCAGGACTAAGTATATTTTCTTTATTAAGATACAAACCTCAGATCTTACCTGGTGTAAATCAGAAAAAGACTTGGGCTTCCATAAAAGTTACAAATAAGTCATGCAACAACTGTTAGTTTAGAAGGTATTAAAATRCAAAGACATTTGGTACTCCTTCTTTAGCTAAGAAGTATTTTATTCTATGAGTCATGGGATTGGCATCAATAAAAGTATTAGAAATTGAATCATAAAAAAGGGACAGCAGATATAAAGAACAATAATCCCTTCATATCTTTTTCAGCAGCCMAGCAGACTGGAATGAATAGAAAAATACTTGCTGGTATTTAAGATTTTTTCATTCAAAACTGTGACAACTGATATCTTGGAAAAGGTGACCTTTACATTTCTGTTATCATCTATAATATTCACACATTATTCATACACCAAAACCTGAATTATACACCCTGCAATGTGCATGGATAGGTAAAACCTTTTTTCTAGATTGAGACTTGACAGTGGGTGCAATTAAAATAAAGGGACAAAGAGAAAAGAAAAAAAAAGAAACMAAAAAACCAAAACAGCCCTGCAGAATAACTTGCCCAAATTATCCCTATTAGGCCTATTTTTTAATTGCAAGATATTGCATGCACTGCACCTCGTCATGTAAGATGATTACAGATGCTGATAAAGAAGGGACCTTTTAGGAGAAAATGCACAAAATTGTGTTTTAGCTGCAGAAAGGAACTTCTTCCACACATGGCCACTTGATCCCTCAAGAAAACACACATTCATTGATAAAACTTCAGGACAGAGGAATTTTCCTCACTGGTTTTGGTAATGGAGAGCAAAATACCRATGTCCACCTTCTCCAGCCTGATGGAATAATCAGGCATTTCCCCGTGTCCTCTGGCAGGTAAGAGAAACACAGAAACCAGCCAAGAGCAGAGACAGGGGTATGAATGGCATCTGTAAAATAAGGAGGGTCATGGAGAAGGCAAACACAAAAAGACTTTTTCATTTCCTTCCACACTAATGACGGGCATGAATTGGAGCTGCCATTGCACACCTCAAGACAAAGGGAAGGAGATGATTCTCCTCACAATTGCACAATTACASCGTGCTTGATACAGGATGCTGGGTGTGCTGGAGGTGTGCATGACTTCAGAGACAGCCTGGACAAGATCATGGATGAGAAATCCTCAGGAACTTCTGAGGGATGGAGAGTCAGCATTTTGTAGGTGGCTGCTTCTTACCCAGGTCCCAGATAACACAAGCACTTAACCCCATTAAAGTGCAGAGATTTCTGGAAGCCAACACACAAGTGCTGACGTCTGACAACGCTGCTGAGCCATGAGCTTTCCTGGTATTAGTAAACTAGCATAGAAAACCCATTTCATGCCTGTCAGCTGGAGTAAATCCTCTGACTAATTTGTTACAAATATGAGCATACCTTGCTCTCCCAGTAACCTTGTTTTAAAGACTGGAGGAGAGCTGTGGTGTCTCTCTGCTGAAAAACACCAAGAACATCACTAAATAATCATTTCACGTGTTCTGAGAAAAGCCTGAGTTACTTAAACTTCATTTGGTGCTCAATATTGGCTGGAATGATGATCTGTAAGAATTTCATAGGAGACATTTACACCTAGGATGTGAGACAACCCCATCCTCATCTTAGGTATAACCAAAAGCCCTTTTATATGTTGTTTTTTTGAAAGTCATTGAATATTGTGAGTGATCTGAAATCTCCACCACCAGGTTGCAGCTGAGTCCATGTTGCAGAGGGTTGAGGTATGGTTTGGGATTATAATCTCAGGTTTCAAAAAGGCTTCTTTATGTAAAGGGTTATTCATATTTCTTGAGCTCCCCTGAGGACACAGGCCTCAAAATACTCAGAATAGGCAAAATGTGTGGATTCAAATTATTCAAGAATAATTTATTGAATTAACTAGATACATTTAAAAGTTTGAGTGACCCGTTTCTGCAGTAAACTTTCCTTCCGAAGTGTGAAGAAATTGCAGGGATAGAAGGAAATGAGGTTTTGGTCCAATATTATATATAATTGAATTAAATTTGAAGCAGGTAAGATTAGATACTAATTTTCTGTGAGGCCTTTAAATTCCAGTGAATCACATTTCTCTGTCTATGAATTTTCAATCATGTAAAAACAAGCATTAAGTACTTTCCAGTGTGATGTGTGATGCTTTATCAGAGTTCTGGGTATACCATACATCATAGTTCTGAGTTGCATTAACTATCACTGAATTCAGTTTTGTCCAGGATGTCCTAGGATAACCTGGAAGCAGATTGTTTTTCTGTGTGCATTTTTAAAACAGTTCTTTTTTTTGTTTACTGAACTTCTGTGGGTGACTGGTTAACTGACCASTTTGCACCCCAGCAACAGACTTTAATTATGTGAGCAGAAGATAACTCAATTTCAATGTGACTAATTCAATACTTTACTGGACTAACTTAGTCTTGAAGAGAAAAACAGGAACGTCCAGAAATACACATTAACCTTCATTCTTAGTTTCCTACTAGGGACACCGAGCACAGAGTTGGAACATAAATTTTCTTCTGCAATATACAGAAAGGAAAACCTTGAAAATGCTTTTGTACCTCACATTTGTAAGAAKAACTTTAACCCAGTTCATATTTGTTTGTGCAGGATGAGGAATAACTCATCAGTCAGTGGAAAGGATTATACCAAGAGGGAGTCTCCCCTTTCTGTACACCCTTGTCTTAGGAGGTGTCAATAGGCACCCTTCTACTTAAAGGGTTTAACATCCAAATCTGGAGATGCAGGTTTCTCCTTTGTGTCTACACAGAATAATAGAATCATTGAGGTTGGAGGAGACCCACATACWCCTACAGGAACAAAGATTTCTAGAGAAGCCTGATCAGAAACGTGAGCACAATGGTACAACAACAATATAGCACTATGTGAAATGACATCATTATCAAAAAACTGAAAAATAAAATTACTGAAATTAATACAATTTAATTATGAAGATTATGGTGATTGAATGTGGTGACAATCTGCTCCAGGAACTATTCTCTCTTTAAAAGCATTTCTGTCACCTCTTCATATAAAAGTCAGGTAATTCAGCCAGTAGGAAAATTAGAGATAAGAGATCTACAAGATGAACAAATAACAAGTGACAGACAAAGTAATTTAATTTTTTAATCATTTTTCATACTTCTTTCTGCATTTCCTCAGGTGACAGTTGGAACCTTGCAAACACCTTAACTACTTCTCAAAACACCTTGTTTGTGCCTTGATGTTGCAACAGTAGACTTAGATATCAAACACAAATCGGAAAATTTTGCTTAAGACTGTAAATTATTTAAGGCAGGGATCAGCTCCAGGAAGGACAGTTCTGCTATTAAAGCTGTGCAGTGGAATGCAAAGGATRGGACTCTGCCCCTGCCATCGGGTGTGATGTTCAGTCACAATCTCATCTCAGCATGACACCGAGAGGAGCAGCCCCACTGATCGTGTAAGGCCTTGTTTATTCAGTGTTTACATCACAATTCCCAGCAATTTTTAGCTTGAAAAATAATAACCAACAGAGGACAATAACAGCCTTTCAAACACAAAGTTTGAAGCTTTGCATTAAGTAGGTGGAGCCGCGCAGCAGCAGGTGTGACCTGGTTGGTGTTATCTGGGATGAAGCCTGACAGAAGGAGATCTCCTTTGGGGTTACCCAACACAGATACAGATGCAGCTGGGAATCCAAGCACTGTGGAGCAGCAGAGGGTGAGCATCCCTGTGCCAAGTGCCCCTGGAGGGCAGRCACAGAGCTGTTCTGCATCTCTCCAGGCTCCTCAGAGAGCTTCTGCAAGGCTCGCGACAAATAACTGAGAGGCCGACCCCGAGAACTTGCTCTGAGCCTTCCAAGGTAAAATGGGATCAGCTGGAGCCAAGAACATCTAAGGAGATGAAAAAAGGATCATGATGGTGAGGTGTAGCGTGTTGTAGGGTATCTGGTGAGTGGCTGGAGGACAGGAGATGGAAGCAGGACCTGCTTGAACCTGCACTTGGTTTCACAGGGATGAACTCTTTGCCCCTAACAGTGCATTGTGGACATCAGGGAAGAGAGAAGGGAATGCAGAGCTCTGCCTGTGCAGCACTTGTTGGATGACCTGGGCATGATATTCTATTTTTTAAGRATTATCTTTGTTCCTTTGAAGGTAAGTTGCTCATGGTAGCAGTGAGACTGTGCTTCAAAGACTTTCCCCGCTTCACGTTGGAGTAAATGATGGGTTCCATTTACTGAGATGTTTACCTATCAGCTGGTGATTAAGTGATCAGGCAGATGAGGGCTGATAAGCATATATGGCTGATAGCAATAATCAGAATGGGTTTTGAAGACTTCCTGTGTGATTTAGAAGCACAAATTAAGTTTGTTTGGGGGGGGTGGGGGGTGGTTTAAGTACAATCATTGAATGGCGTTCTGTGGGTAACTTTTCTGTGAAATCCTAGGATAATCTTCACTGTGAAAATATGTTGTTGCAAATCCTCTGAGAATTTAATTTGCATGCCCATAAATTGCAGCTCTAGAGAGAAAAAGAAGTTTCATTTGTCAAGGACATGAAGAAGATCTTTAAGAATGCCTAAAGGATACCCTGACCATGCAAAAACTCCATGGCAAACAGAAACAACCCCAAAGCTATTTTCTTGAAAACTTACTATTTTTGAGGAAGTGTTGCTTTCTTTGGATCAAACCCAGTAAATTACTGAAGTATTGAGTTTTGAGGGGTTTTGATGGTTTAAAGGAACCCTTAGGTGAATTCYGAATTCTAATTTCTATCATGTTTGAATTCTGTTCTTATTCACTTTAGATGTTGGCAGTATGGATCATTGTTCTTTTTCTTCTCAGTGCAGCCAGAGGTGAGACATATAATGAATGAAGCTCATAAACAATAAAAATTGTGTGGAACTCACACCAGAATATCTATATTCTAGAAAAAGTATGCTCGTTGAAATAGATTTAACATAATTCTTCATTAGTACCATTAGTAATTAGAATTATATCATGTRTTTCCTACATTTAGCTCATTACTTTTTAATTCTGTAAAGGTTTTTACAGCTAGCAAATGGAATGGGAATTAGAAAGGYATTTTTATATGTGAATTGATAATGAAATTCTTCCAGAATATTTTTCCCCTACTCACCCTCAACTCACTCATGGTATTGGTGGTGAGAGCCCAGGCACTTCCACTTCTCAGTGTTATGCAGAGAGCAAGAAAATAGCCTTGGTCCAAAATACCTCTTTCATGACAGGACAAAAAGGTCCTTTTATTAGCAATACAAAATTATCTGGGATTACACAACTGTTGTGCTATAACAGTGTGGAAGGGTGACAATTAATGGYAACACCCACGTGTCATATTTGCACCATTACTGTATTAAAGGCACAATAAAGATTGGGAAACYTGTCCTTCAGGCACAGACCACACTTCCTGAGGCTGTGCTTTACTCTCAGCTCCACTCCAATTCCCCTTTATTGCTTCCACTAAAATCTTATGGTGATAAAAACAATAAGGGAGATGTTTAATGTGAGTTGTGGAGCAACCGGAGGCATCTATTTTAGTGGTTTGGTTTCTTTTTACTCCTTCATGAGCTGTTGCACAAGAAATAATAACTTAGATAAAGATAGATAATATTAGGACTGATTTGAAAGGCTGGCAGCTAAAGGTGGCTTCTTCTCTGATTCGAGATTTTATTGTCTTTTTCCAAGGGCTGTGTTAACAACATGTTTGACAAAACACATCCTGCATTCTCATGAGTTCACCAAGCTGAGCTCCRGGCTGTGTTTGCAGCAGGAATCAGTTTTGAAGTTCAAGTCCTTGCTACAAACACCAGAACAACCTGASCCACTTTATGAAAAATGCACAGAAGTGCCTCCCTCGCCTGAGTCAGGCACGCTGGGCTTTCCTGGTGTAAATGCTCTGCTGCCAGCTCGTGTACGGAACCCGTGACATTCCCACAACACTGATATCTTTCTCTGTGTACCCAGGAAGGCAAGTGTGCTTCAAAAGGCTTGGATGCTTTTCAGACAGCCCCCCTTGGGCTGGGATCCCAGGGAGACAACTGGCGGGCTTGCCCAGCTCTCCAGGTGTTGTGAACACAAATTTCCTTCTTTACACCAGAGACAACATGATGAAATACCAAGTAAGAAACTGCTTTGTTTCTAAACACTGAAAGTAAACAACACATTCAACGAATTCTGGGAAGAGTTTCTTTTCWCACATATTTTTGCTAATAACACTGCAGTGAGAAACTCCAATTCTGTATTAGAAACACGATAATTTTCTTCCATATTATTTCTTTTTCTCCTCATTTCAGCACTCTGAGGAGCCAGGTATATTTACAACATATTAATCACAGCCCTCTAACACAAGATATTACATGTAAAAGGCTTCAGAAATAAGGGTTTTAATACAAATGGCAGTCACAAACAGCAGAGGTGTTTATTAAAGAACTGCAGAACAAGTCCAACTCCTCCAGCTGAGAGGGTCTATGAGGTTTTAACAAATAATTCTTTCACTGAAGGTCAGATGTGTGCTAATTAGTGCATCACATTCCCCTTTTAACTCAAGAAAACCATAACAAAACATATGTAAGAACTAGTATTCAGAATTTCTTTAAAAGAAAATGTCTCCTTTCTTAATACACACCAAAATACCTACAGCCTCTGACTTTGTAAGCCTGGTGGGCTTTCTCATAAAATGTAAATGAAGCAATGAAGGTCTTATCTTCAAAGGAAAAAAAGAGAGAAAAATAGATATAGTTTCAAAGTCAACCGCATAATACCTTTCAGAAGATGCTATCTTTGCATTTTTACGGCCAAGTCTGATTAAATCTTGTACTTACATGACATGTTGTACCAGCAGATCTCAAAGCATTGTGCAAAAGATGCCGGTATCATTAGTTCAATTAAGCAGAGGAAGTGAATCATTTGTGGAAGGGATGAATTGATTTCCCCTTGAAAGGCAGTTTAGGAATGAGAAATAAGACCCATTTCTTCAGAGTGAAGGCCTCAAGCATTGGGGTACTCTACCCTTTATCAAAATGTGCAGAGGGATGGAGCAGTCACCTCCTTGTTGTGTTTGTCGGTTGTTTGGTTCTTTTGGCACAGAAAATTTCAGCTACAAACCCTTCGACCATAAAAGCTTCGAATTTCCGAACGCACAGGAAAACTCGCTTCATTATACACGGGCACCTGGCTRGAGCAGATCTGCCCTGGATCACGAGCATATGCAGGGTATGTACAGCTACTGACAGTCATTTTACCTGTATTTGTAAGCCCAGATATCCACATCTGGCTTAAAATTCCCATGTAAAATTCATACCTCCGCTCCTTTGTTAATTCAGGGGATATATAAGGAACACAAAAATCAGAACGAAGCCCAGCTCCACACAACTACACTCTTGTCCCTTTCAGCACTTCAGCTTTCTTCTGAATGGCATTTGCTGCATTTACCTCCCTAAGGAAAGCCATAAGAAATTGATTTTACAATTTCTTGCCAATAATAAAGGGGGAAAAAAAGAGTAAGTTTTCTCACCTCAGCAAAAGGTCATAATAAACGTGTCAGTTTGAGTGAGACATTTGATCTAATAAAAACAAAGGGCTTTGTTCAGCAGAATGGTTTCATTTTACTCAGGCACATTTCAAAAATGAAATTGTTTCAGAATAAAAAACAAAATCAGAAAGTTCTGTTGGCAGAAGTGTATAAACAGAATGTTTTGGTTACAGCGTATGAACTTGAGGGCTGAACAAATTTGAGAATCATTTTGGGTGAGCCAAGCATAAGAAATTTGAAGCATAAAATTTGAAGAATAAGGATCTCTTTTGGTAACAGGGGTACTGTCATTAAGAGAAGTTGGTACCCTGGAGCCAACGAAGACATCTGAAATGGAAAAAGAGTCGGCGTCCTCTAATCACTGATTCCACTCTGCCTCCTTGTGTTGGCCTTCAGCATCAGCAGCAATTAATAYACTGAACATTTATCATCACCAGTCACACAAACAAAACAAAATTTACTTTACCTATGCCCTGCTACAATTGTAACTAATTCCTGTTCGCTGTTTCTCTGTTATTTTCCTGCTCCCCACCAGTTCATGTTCCACACTGAAGATGTGAACTGCATTTTGACGGAGTGGACGGGCGGCTCCAGCGGTTTGTACACGGACGCGGTCAACAACGTCCGCATYGTGGGGGCCGAGCTGGAGTACCTGGTGAACTTCCTCGAGGTAAAAGTATCCCTGGAATGGGAAGACTGGTGCACAGTCCACATGGTGGAGATTGTGCCAGAGAGGCACCTTCATGTTTGATTCAACAGAGGCACCCAGCAAAGCAGCTCAAAGTGTTAAAAAAGGGCTCTAATCTCACACAAATGAAAATACCTGCTTTAGTATCCTAACTGATTTGGAAAAACTGCTCTAACATGACTTTACAGCAGCTTGACAATCTGAAATGAAAAATTAAATACCCTTGATTTAGTACATCAGGATAAGACAGTAAATAGCCACAAACACCCTGAAAATGAAGAGAGGTGGGATGAGTAGGGAATTGCTTCTCTTTAGGCAGATATTCCATTACCCAGAACTGGAACTTTTCACCAGGACACTCGCCTCCATCACCCAGTGTTCTGGCCACACCCTGGCACTGTATGGGGATGTGCTGCAGTGTCACTGACATGCATCCCCACACTGTTTTTTTTCTCCTTTCCATAAACCTTCCCAGAAAGACTACGGCTACTCTCCTGCCAACATCCATTTCATCGGCCACAGTCTCGGAGCACACGTTGCAGGGGAGGCAGGSAGGAGGAAACCTGGCATTGGAAGAATAACAGGTACTGCAGCTATTTCAGCTGATGAAAATTTGTATTTTCAATGCAATTTAAGAGAACTGAAGAATCACTGGTGCTTTATAAACAGACAGTAGGCTGCAGTGTTCTGGTTTGTCATAAATAACAGTGCCCAGCCAGCATGGTGGCACACAAGTTGTGACACAGCCACACACCAATTTCTTTTAAAACCTCATTCTTTTCTGTTTTCCTTCYCCTCCAATCAGTTCTTTTCCCTGCACAGACACTGCTGTGTCTTAAGCATGCAGACAGTGAGCAATCACACGAGCAATCCAGAGAAATTAGGATCAGAGCTGTGTTTCCTCATCTCCAAAGAGATCTCACTGACACTGAAGTGAAGGGGTACCACTTTCAACCTAGATATTCTGGAAATGAAAATACACTTCTGGCCAAATAGAAATCAACATGCTCAGAGTAACATATGAAGATTTCATATTTGTTACTAACATGACCAAAAAAAATAAAAAGGAACCAAAGCTCTTCTTCTAACACTGCTCCCCAAAAGCATGCCAAACAGCATCAGCATTTTCCTGTGCTGCAATGCCTCCAGTCAGCTTTCCGTTAATACACTGCCTGCTTTTTCTGGCTGTGAACCACAAAATGGATTTTTATATGTAGAGTAAAGGCAAAAATATAATGACATAGAATATACATAACCTGCATGTGATGATATACATAAAGCATTATTTACACAATCAGATGTATCTCCCTTCTTTTAGGTTTGGATCCAGCTGGGCCCCTTTTCCAGTACACTCCCACAATGGTTAGGCTGGATCCTTCAGATGCAACGTTTGTTGATATAATTCACACTCATGCTGGTCATCTTTTCTTTGACTTTGGTAAGTTTTCATGCAAAGGCTGCCATTGGCACATAGGTTGGCTGCAGAATACCTGAGAGTGATCTGCCAGGATCCATTGTGCATTTCAGCTCCAGGGATTCTTCAGCCTTGTGGCCACYTGGATTTTTACCCAAATGGTGGGAAGAAGATGCCAGGGTGCAACCAGCTTCGTGTGCCTCCTGCAACTCGGGATATCAATGACCTGATGAGAGGTAAATGCATTTAAAAGTATTTMAAGGTACTTTAAAGAAGTAATATCTCATTGTAGTCTACAGTCAGAACAAAGGATGGGATAAGTTAAGGCCTTTTGGATATATTTGGATGTATATGTTATTTACATAGCTCAGATTTGGAACAGGGAGACAATGAACAAAAATGGAACATTTAAAGCTGCTTCTGAAATACCCTCCAATTTTCTTTTGTACTAATCAAGGCAAATTCCAGACAAAAATTTCAATTAAAGCATGCAAAATTGTTCATCACAAGCTTTATAAGAGCCTGCCACTGTGCTGACAGGCTGACCTCAGTGGGAATTCCTCACATGAAGGGCTGGTAAAATTTAATTCATGGATAATCCAAAAAGGAGTATTTTAAAATCTGACCTTCCCTTCTCCACAGGAAGACATCTCTCCCAATATTGCTGGGATTCATCCATGCCATTTAGTATCTTCAAAGGGAACAGCCCAAGGTTAGAAATACAAAAGATGATGAAATGACTGCTCCATTAGTAGTTCTTCAAAGAAAGCTGGGCAGTTAATCAGAATTACCCTGGGATCCAGGACAATAGATCCACAAAATCCTGCAGAATTGAGAACATCTCTTATTCACAGCTAAATGTTTTGAAATCCCTACCACTAGTTAAATAATTTGCTTTCAAAAATGCTCCCCCTTAGAACTGGTCGAGAACTTGGTAACAAAGAGAACTGAAAGCTGGCTGTGCTCAAAGGCACTTGGAACAAAACCACTTTCCAATTTTAAAGCATAAAAATGTCYACATTTTCATTAAAAAAAAAAATTAAAAAAACAATTCCAGAGATATTTCACAAGGCTCTTTGCAATGTTTTGTCTTGAGGGAGAAACTCAACTCTACTGAACACGAGCAGATGGAGTTGGTTGTTCATGCAGCTCCTAAAAATAGAGAGAGTCTTAACTTTCTCCTCTTGGTTAAACCTTACTTTGCTAACCTCTCTTTTGTTTGGTARTGTTTGCATTTATGTAGTGTTTTCATGTACAAAGTGCATGAGAAATGCTATTTAGTGACTTTTTTTCCTACAGTTTTCGATGCAGTAGAGACTATGGGTGTTAAGTGAATTTGCCTCTACCATAAATCGAGCCAGCTGAAAGAGCTGTGGGTTTAAAGTTAAGAGCACAAACCCTTCTGAATTAAACAAGGAGCTATAAAGAAAACACACTCAGGATGCCTTGATGATGCAGATTATTGTCAAGAAAAACAGACAAGTACTTTTCACAGAGGTTTTAGTGTGGGGTTTCTTTTCTTCCCTTATGTGAAGAATATTGTGTAAAACTGGTAAACACCAACAGGTTTATCTTTAAGATGCATAAAYATTAGAGGAAATTTTGATTTCACTATAAACTGAGCAAGCTTGCAATARCTTCAGTGCCTCCCAGACTTCTCCCTGTGGTTTGGTGAGCCCTCATCACACRCTGAGGCAGGACAGAGCCCATTTTTATACAACCAACCGAACTTTAGTACATYGTGTTTTGATAAAGGGGAGACCTCGGAATCAAGGAAGATGACTTTTGCTATAAAGGACCTGTAAATATAACACAAATTGGACTTTTTTTCTTTCCTTACTGGCTGCTTATAAATTTCAGTCTAATGGCAAAGTATACTTGTTTCAAATAGTTCTGACAAAATCAAGGATGCGCTGCCAAACCTCCTGCTTTTCAGAGAATTTCACAGAATTGCTATCAAACGACTGCAGATTTTCTAGAGCTTAAAAACACTGAAAACCACTGAACTTAAAATAATTGCTAAAATTACCTTTAATTCTAGAAATTAGTGGAAACTGGGATTTTACAGAACACCATGTTGTGATAACCAAAAGAACAAGAAAACTACTGCATTGTAGCTACTATATACTTTATAAAAACTTTAGCTATGAAATATTACAGTCTTTGAAATATCAAAGGGGAATACTCTTAAAGGCTTCTTGTTTCACCTTGGTCCATCTCCACCTCTTTAAAAACTACCTCTTTCCAATAGAAAGAAAATATATCTAGGCATAAGTATACTTTCTCACTACAAATCCAAATTATTCACACTTTAAATGTTTTTAACTATTTCCAATTAAATAGAAATATTTRTTTCTATTTTTATTTTACCTAAGATATCACTATACATGCAAGTGCTTTTGAGGAAAAGAKACTTCAAAATGTTGCTTTGGCATGGACTTTATGTTAATGTACAGCCTTAATTGCTTTTTATCTGTTGGGTTTTTTGGGTTTTCTTCCCCCCAGCATACAGATCTTTTGGATGTGGACATAAAAGGAGTCTCAGGTATTATGCTGAGAGTATCATCACTCCAAATGGATTTGTTGGGTACCAGTGTGACACATACCGAGGGTTTGTATTGGTGAGTGCCAGCTCTGTGTTTATCTCGGGGCCTATGGCCCTGCCCTTCTTCTTTTAATAATTTCTGGGACAACTTCTACACTTGGGGTCACAGGATATGGGCACAAGGGACATTCAGAACCACTGCCTACCTTCACTCAGACCAGACCCAAACCCAGGCAGTTTCACAATAGACAAGTGATGATCAAGATTTAACCTTTTCTTCACTAAATGCACAAATAGCCAAAGGCCCATAAACATCAGTTCCAGCAGAACCTCCCATATATCAAAACTGAACTACCTAAATATAARGATTTCCAACTCTAATTGATCTGCTTTCATGCTTATCTTTTTAAATGTATGTCAAGATCTAGATCTAATTGATCTGTGTAGGTAGGTTAATTTCATTAAGGCTCAGCAAGGGAATAAAGGCAGAAGAGCAGACAGAACAAATCCCAAAATGAAAGCCCAACCCTCAGTATTCCTAAACATAAATATTTTTGCCACATGAGTGAGATATCCAGCCAGACCTCCTTGGAAATGTGGTTACTCATCCTGTAATCAGCAGAAAACCTTCCAGTAGAYCCTATGAAAGATGAATATATCACCTGGATTTTACAGATCAGGTTTCAAGGCACAACATTCATTATGGAATTCACTTCTGGTCTCTACAGGAAATTATGCCAGATTCCAAGCTGTTTCTCTCTGATTTTCAACCAGATGAAATAAACTGACTGACCACCTCCGCTCATTTATCAACCAGTGATAAATACTGAAGATATGAGCTGAACTGAGAAGAAAGTACCTAATTAAAAAAAAAAAAAAAAAAAAAAAAAAAAAAAAAAAAAAAAAAAAAAAAAAAAAAAAAAAAAAAAAAAAAAAAAAAAAGCTGGGAAAAAACTGAAATAACCCATAACCTGAATAATATTTTCCTTAAAATTTAAGAATTTAAAGAGATTAAAATAGATCATGTCTTATACCACACATTGTTATTTTCTCTCTAGGGARACTGTTTCCCATGTCCGAAGGAAGGATGCCCACTGATGGGTCATTATGCTGACAGGTTTTCACATAAAACTGAAAAAGAACAACAAAAGGTTTATTTGAACACGGGGCCCTCCCCTCCCTATGCTCGTAAGTTCTGATTTTGTGGGGTACTCCAAAGTGGCAATGAATTATGTGTGAAAAAGGACCTTACACTGCAGCAGAGAGCTGCTGGAGTTGAGTTGCACTCATACAAGATCTAGAATTTAAAATGTTAGGAACATGCAGTACTAGCATTCTTTGGGAAAGCTGAGATAATTGTAAAAACAGATCAAATCATGCTCACTTTTGAGTTAATCTTGATTATTACAAGATGGCTTCAAAAATTATATAAGGCTGAAGGTGGGAGGAATGTTACGCTGGAAGTTTCTGCTTTAAATTTCAAATTTTAAAATGTTATACTGTTTTTATTGAAAAAAAATGGGTATTTTTGCAAAGCTCATGAAGTCAAAATGGCAGAGAGCAACAAGAAATACAGGTTTAGGTGTGTTTACTGTAGAAACAGACACAATACTCGCAAATAGGAAAATTAATAAATAAACTGTAATTCATCACAGGTATTGTTTGCTCATAAGCACATTTCTGCAATCCTTTTCTCTCTCTCAGAGACACTGAAACATGTAAGAAATWTTACCCTTAGGAAAGACATCTCCTTTACAACCATAATCCATTTGATTTTGCTTTCAAAGGCTGGTGAAAAAAGATACACGTCAAAGTATGTGCATCAGAAACCATGAAGGGAAATATAGATGTAGCCTTGACTGGAACTAATGGGATCAGGAAAAAATATACCATCAACAAGTAAGTTTAATGTGGCTGTTGAAAAAGGGGCTCTGTCTTTGTTATCATATGGAATATACACACAGAGCTATTTTTACAGGCCTCACCTTGTTCTGTGGGGCCTGTGATTTACACTGGTAATAAAAGTAGCTGGTAAGTGAATGAAGTTGCCTGTGCTACAGATTGTGGTAAAAATCTCCTTGCTCTGTGGTTTTTTTTTGGTTTTTTGTTTTTTGGGGTTTTTTTTTTTTTTTTTTTTTTTTTTTTTTTTTTTTTTTTTTTTTTTTTTTTTTTTTTTTTTTTTCTGAGGCTGATGTTAGCACAGCAAAGTGGGCAAGAGCTCTGTGGCTGCTGCTGGACTCAAAACTCACTGWGRTTTGGTGATCTYTGGGAGGACACAGGGCTCAGRGATGCACAATCATTTMATTATCCCCTCCTCTGGRGAACATGGGAGTGAAAAAGTTGCARCTTGCCCATGAACCGTGTTGGAATATGGGATACGTGACCACTCAGCCTGGCTTTTTCCAGTAAATGWGAACTTAAATCTCAATAAATAAAGGTGGTCAGTAACAGAGCTTAAATATTGTAAAACCAGCCTCCTGTGTGTTTGAACACAGCTCTGTCCCTGCTCTGTAGCAGGAGTACCTTTGGTTATAAATGCAGCACTGCAGTGAAATAGCTGCAGATAATTTCCATGTTAATGTCACACTGCAATGTGTGATCTGTTGGAGTGAGCAGTGATACCACACAAGGCACGAATGTAAACTATAATTTTCAATTTTCTTCATGGTTGAGAGCAACCAGAAACACWGGGAGAACCTTTTGGTTTGGATTTATTTGTAGATCTTATTTTGTATAAGTAATAYATGGAATAAATCATGGCAATACTGACAAAGACTTTGCTAATTAATCCTGAAAGGCACAGGAATTTTAGCAATTCTATTTTAAAAGTTCATAATTTTATAACAGTAGTATTTAAAGCTCCAACTCTCATGGCACACCACAGCTCATTTCCCTTCCTGCCTGTACTCAAGGTTTTCTTTTCCCCCTCATTTGTGCAGAACACTGAGCATCCCTTCTGTGCTTTTGTTTTGGCAGGGGAACTTTCAAACCAGGCAACACATACTTGAACTACATTGATACAGAAATTCCTGGGAATATTTCAAAAGTTGAGTTTCTCTGGAAAAAGCATCTTGGTCATGTAGACAGAGGCTGCATGGGAGCTGAAGAAGTCACAATAATATCTGGGGAAACTGGAAATATGTAAGTATATAATCTGATGGCGTTCCAGAGAGGTGGAAGTTTTTTTCCTAATTAAAATTAACCCAGCTGATGTGTTCACCCCACTCTCACGTAAACCAATGTGTGGTAAATGGGAAAATGGAGAGAACAATTCCCTTCAAAAGCACCCTCCTGTTCCAAATTAAAACACAAAAGGAGCCTGAGCATAAAGGCAAACACATCCTGAAAGTTAATGATTCGTCATTAACTAGCAAGTCTTAAAAAAATGTGTTAACACACACATTTTATGTTCTCAGTGTACTGAGAACTCATGTCTCAGTCTACTGGAGCTCATGCTTTAACCTAATATGAATTAAAACCAGATTAATATTAATTATGTGGGCTAGCTGAAGGTTATATATTTTTGCTGACAAACCCTTCCATAAGCTGTTTCCCCATTTTCAGGTCGGTGTTCTGTGGCTGTGGCACGGTGCAGCCCAGCATGTGGCAAGCCCTGGCCATGTGCTGAGGATCTCCTGGGACACTGCAGCAACACTCACCCCCTGGAGGAGGATTGCAGCCAGCAGAAAAGGTGAACGAGGCTCCCCCAACAGACTGAGAAACACACCCAGCTTTTGGGGTTAAATCTCACAGTTTGGGAAAAATTGGAGCTGCAGGTCAAGCCATCAAGGAGCGGTTACATGATGTRTGATTGACATGGCCATGCTTTGTGTGTCAGGCTGTGATTGGTTAAACAGAGYCATAGACCCCGCCTAACCASAGATRTGATTGGATAAGAAGGTTCATGGGCARTGACYCTGCASARCWAACAGCCAATGGGTGCTCAGCCCGGGAAAAWTGAAAGTATAAAGAGGYRCAGCTTTGTGAGAATAAAGGATTTCTTTGAACCGGCTAGAAAAGGTCTGTGTCCTCTKTTCCCATATTGTCACACCCAGCCCACTACAAAAGTTCCATTTCCAATTCAGTGCTGTCAGCTTTTTTCCATGCACTTGCCCTCCTGTGAGGGTAATGATGACATTATCATCATCCCTTCGGTTATGATGACAGAAAACACATTACCAGTAACTAGCTGTGACTCTTTTTTATACCTGAAACACGCATCTTCTTTATCAAAACTTTATTGTACTACTGAAAAACTTGAATGTTGTGGGAGTCTTCAATGCATAACTATTTTCTCTTTAGCAGTGAAGCTGAATTTTCCACCTCTACTTTGCCTTTGTGACGATRCTGAGGTCAGGCTTGAGCTGCATCATTTGGATTAACATTGCCACTTCAAATTAGTCAGCATTTCAATTGTACTGATTAGCAACACCAGACCMCTGAGGGCTATCAGCATCAGCCAAAATAAGCTAAGGTTCATTTGTTTCAACACAAGCTACCCACAAAAATTCTTTCATCTTTTAATAACCAGCTGTTGTCTAAGTCATGCAACTGATTTTGACATGTGATGTGAGGTTTATCATCTGAGTGCACAAATTACGTGTATCAATCACATTGGGCAACTCTGTTCTGTCCCATCCTGACAACCAGCTGTTCCAGAAATCTTCCAGTGGGGTTCCCCAAAGGATGTTGATGTGTTACTCAAGGCTGGATGTGGCTGATGAACAGGTGTGTTTCGAATTATGCAGCAATAATTTTGGGATAKCAGAACCCTGTCACCTCCAGGGAAGTTTGGCTCTTGCTTAGGATTTTTGATAAATCAGGTGTCTGCCTTCTCAGAGCTGCTCTTCGGTGCCCTTTATTTATCATCTCCACACAAGCAGGGTGGGATCCAGAAACCATCCTGAGCAGGAAACTCATCCTTCTTTACCTCTTGAGGAAATGCCTTCGTAAGATTCCCTTCCTGAGCAGGAAGTGCCCTCTTCTGTACCCCCATGGAGATATAAAAAAACCCACAAGTACTTCTACAAAGTTTGGAAATATCTGTAATTGATAATTACAACATCTTGAACATTCTCCATAAAAAACACATGGCTCTCTGCAGGAGGAAACACATGTTTTTCATAAAGGTATATGTACAGGTATGCTAATGAGAAAACAAGGGCCATTCTTGTCAGAATCCACTGAAAACAAAAACAACGCTACTGCATAGCACAGTAGTTTCTCTTCTTTCCAAAATTGCATTTTGCTATCAAAATGCCCCTCATAAATATAAAAAAATAAAAAGAATAATTAAAATTAACTAAATAGGACTAATAGGCAGASACCTCAGCATTCAGTTTTTGCCGTTGTCTCTTTTCCTTTTGATCCTATCTTAAACTGAGACTTTTCAGATTTTTTTCATTCTACTCCAATACACTACAATATATTGATAAAATCCTTGAAAATAACCATAAATTTGCAGGAATAAGCCTCCCTGCCTTATTCTAAACCAGAAGATCTTCTGGTCTTTCATGGCTTTTTTTACCTGCAGCAGGCTCCAATTCTCAAATATGTGTCTGTTATATAAAAGCTAAAAAAAAAAAAAAGTTTGGAAGTTAATTTTTCTGAGACTTTAATGCAGTCAGGGTATTCTGTGTAGCCCTTGGGTACAACAGTTTTTGACAGGCTGCTGGGACAGAAGCAAAACCAAAAATCTTTGTGCATTCCCAACATTTATTTGAGTTATTTTTCCATAACCAAAGCTGACTGGAGTTGGAGTTGCCACTAAACAATTGACCTATCACTGTAAATTTATCAGTAAATCTATCTGGATGGAGTCTGTACAAAATTTGGTGCTCTCTGATTCTCCGTTGTCATGACACAACATCCGGGACTTTGTAATTCCATGCAGTCTCCAAGCCTCTTTACATTGCTCTGTTTCCATTAATTAGGGTGCAGAAGTTGATAGCATGCCCAAATCTATTTTTGTGGCATATTTCCAGGACAAAACAGAGCCAATTATCTTTTCTTTATCTTCAGCTATCAAGAATATAAAAACTTCCCGAAAGAACTTGCCTCAGTTCCAGCCCTTGCACAAGCAGAGCACGCCCACGTTGGAGCTGCAGGAGCACAAACCTCTCCTCCCAGGGGTCTTGCAACACCAGAAGYACCAGCAATATGTGAAAATACTGGCAGTGGTGCCAGCCCAGAGTTTTTTCCTTTTTTTTTGTGACACTAGGAGAGCTTGGGGCCAAATGCTGATGTCCAGAGCTTTAGATGATTTACTTTGTTCTGAGCCACCGGGCTTGATGGAGCCATGCTTTTATCAAAATATTCAAGATTTTTACACCTGCCTTTCAGTTTCCAAGGCAAATCTACAGTCAATCCCTCTTAACTCACCTGATTCTTTCAAATAAATTTAATATTCTAGCAGTAATAAGAGATAAAGCATTCAGAATAATGTTCTTCACCCTCTTCCCTTTAATTCTGCCCCTTACTTGTAAAGAAAATCTGGCTGTCCCTACTAAACCTTCTCTGCCTTTTGTTATTTTCTTCATCTGCTCTAAAATCCCCTCTTCTAGTGCTATTTCCTTCAAATACTGTACTCCCTAAGTCTCCAGCTCACAAAACCAATAGTTCATCTCATCTTTGCTTGCTTTGAGTGATTTAATTAACAGCCAGCATGTATCATGGAAAATCATAAATATTTATGACTTCCAAAACATTCCTTTCATTACCATTGTGTGATACTGCAAAGTACATACTAAGGCAAATTGGTTTTGTCTCTATTCAATTTCAAATTTGTTCACTTGACCAGAAAGAACACATTGCAGTTAAACAATAGAAATACCAAGCAAATCTTTTATTCTTGGCTCTGCCACTCAGGTACTGCAGGTAAGATTCTCCAAGCAGCTGAGTGGTCTTTGTCTATACATATCAGCAATTCTCTAGGGGGTGGAATGCAGAGCTGCTTCCAGATGACCTCCATCCAAGCTAAGAAACTCATTAACCATCTTCAATCAAAAATTGAAATGAGAGCGAGAGAAATGTTGCTTTTACGATTTCATGCACTTATCCTTCTGTGAAAGCCKCAGTAATTCAAATATTGCTGCACTCGAAACACCGTTTCCAAGATTCCTTTGGAGAACACGATTCTCACTAAGTGTTTTAATCCTCTTTTTCCTACCTATGTGAAGGCCACTGCTACCAATATGTATTTATGTCCTTGATGATTCTCAGGCTGACATTTTTAAAACTGCTGGATGTGTTGCACATTGTCAGAGGCAGCTGCAAAAGCCAGWCTTTTTCTTCCTGCCCACAAAAATCTCTTGTTCTTCTTAAAACATAAAAAAGGGCGTAGAAAAATTGACTATTCCTAAAAGGACCTACACCTCAAAACTCTACAACATGGGTTAGAAATTATTTTTACCATTAATTCTGGCTTGCCAGTGGAACTCGGTAGCGCCGTATCAGCACTCACACACAAAGACTAACTCTGGAAAAAACAGCAAAATATCCGTCAGTCCTGCTCCCCTAAAAAAATGTTTCAGAGGTGTCAGATCTCCACACAAAGATGTTGATTGGTTTCTGAAGATGTTTTGTACTAAATGGAGGCACCAATTTCACTGGCTCAGTTTTTCAGTGCCAGAATTTCTACATATGAGAGCACAGGACATTCCTGATCTCTTTTCCTTGGCTCCTCAAATTCATTCCTCCCCAGACTGATCTAAGSAGCTGCATTGTTCAGAGGAGATACAAATCCTGTAACTGCTGCCAAATCTCCATCTTCCAGGTGATGAGGGCARGCTCGAGTGGTGAGAATTTCTTATTCACTGGATCTTTCCTGTCTTATCTGAAATTACACACRTTGTCAGTGTGAGCTGCAATTAAATGTGAGATACAATCCCTTACTGGSCACTGCTTCCTCCACATTCCTCTGAGACTTCTTTCTAATGATTATTTTTCTTTGTGGCATTGCCTTGCACCACTCTACCAACAAGAACCAGAGCCAAACTCAAACATTCCTACAGGTCCAAGTGCCACAAGGACACTGACTTGGTTCTTACAATGCCTTGCAGGCTGATTGCTTTGTCCACGATTCAGGATGTGGAGAAACCCTTTTTTTTGGTGTTTCTGAAATTCCTTCTTTCAGGCAATGCTCAATCTCAGGACCACAAATTGGTTCCTTATGTGAACCACAGATCCAGCCCAAGTTACTTCCTGCCCCCAGGCACTTGAACCACTCCTTGATAAGGGTGACAGTGGCTCCTGCAGAGCTGCCTGAGCAGGTGACAGCACCCATTCTGCAGGTAGCACTGCAGGGACCTGAGCAACTGCCCAGGACCTGAAAGAACTGCGTTCTGACACGGCTGTGACTCAGTCTCCAGAGCCCAGAAGAGAATCTGGGATTTACATGATGGACAAGTCATGAAGAGATGAATGATTATTATCATGATGACATGATTATTATCCTGCCCTTCTCCTGAAGCAATTGTGAATGAAAGCACCTGGCTTTTCTCTGATCCAGGTGGATCACAATAACATCAGTATATACCAGTTATATTCAGAGCTGGTGAGACAGCTTGGTACAGAGACACCTAATCTGTAAATCCTACACGGCCTAAGAGGACATAAATTAGTCAAAATGTGGTGGGGTAGATAGAGCTTGAGTAACKTCATTAGTAAAAGCTATTAAATGCTCAGATATTTATATTGTCCCTAAGTTGTAAGATGATTTTTCTTATTTCTTCCTTTTAAAAGAAGCTAGTGTGCCCTTGTTTAAGAAAAAAAAATAAAATTAAAAACTATAAAAAGGTTTGAATATATGAAAACGTCCAAGGGTTTGCTTTGCCAAGGCACGTTCATCAGACAGCTGACAGACAGAAAGTTGGTGTCTGCTGGTGGGGAACACAAACCAAGGAAATAAAGCTGCTGATCTGAAGTCTCCTGCAGYGGAGGGTCAATCCTCAACCTGGAACATGAGTTTACAACAACCTGATAACTCAGGAGAGCATTTCACATTGGCTTTTTGAATATTACACACAGCAACCCCTCCCAGGGCTCAAACATCCTTGTCTTACTTTCCTTCAAACTAACAGAACTTCAGGAGGGGAAAATGCTGATGAATTAGACACAAAGAGAGGAAAGAAAAGGCAACATCTGCTCTACCCAGCATCGAGGGGATCATTCTTACAAAGGTTCTCACTCACCCACACCAAACCTATAATTAGACGTCGTGTGGGCAGGTCTGCTCCTACTGTCATGGGACTGATTCCAAGTGAAAAAGGGCAGCAGCCACCAGGATTTGACAGGGAGCTGGCTGAACAGGGCTGGAAAAGGAGCAACCCTTCCTGCATTCYGAGTGGTGAGTGCTGAAAAATCAGTGGGGTTTGGGGATGAGTTTCTGTACGAGCTGCTGGTCAGGGCTGGGGGACTCCGAGGACTCGTCCTTAGAAATAGCCAGGCTGAGTGGTGTGGTGTGAGTGAACATGCAAAAAACAGAGAGCAGCACTCAGAGAAAAACCCTGGCAGCAGCTGGGAGGCTTGAAACTTTTCAATTCCAGGAAATCCCAGCAGGAGATGGGACTTTCTGGCCTGTGACAATGCAGTGCAGCTTGGAAAACAGGGTGGATTCAGTGGGGATAAGGTAATTTGGGACTGAGTATGTGCCTGTTGTTAAAGGAAGAACAAAAATGACAGTTTTTACAGATGGTATCTGGACTTCTTCTAAGGGAGAAAGCACTAAAACACAACAACAGAAATTAAAAAGGAGGATAAAATAGGCCATGCATTTAAGCATTTTTAAGAGCAATGCAAATTTAAAGGGAGAATGGAAATGGGGAAGAATTACAGAGCTGTTTTGGGGCAGAATGTGAAAAGTGAGACTTTTTTTGGTGGTCTACTGTACATGGGGGAGCTTGAACTGGTCACTGACAAGGGCTATTCTGCACTTCAGAAATGGCAAAAGGCCAACAGTGTCGGTCTTGGAGCTGACTGAGTTTAAAAGCAGCCTGATCATGGAGATAAACAGGRCACATCACCCTGGAAAGACAGACAAGGGGCCAGGTGGTGGCTGCAAGTGAGCTGAAGGCTCCCTGATCAGTCAGAATTGGCACAGCCACTTCCCAAAGCTGAATCACATTTGTTGTTGGTTTGTTTTGGATTTTTACGATGCTTGCAGTCAGATTAAATTATCATAATTGTCTCTGTAAATTTGAATATATGAATACCAGTATAAGATCAAGGTGAGAACCCTATTATTTAGAAAACCTGAGAAAATACTGTGCAGTGGGAAGCCAAAGACTTGTTTTTAAATATGTTCTCTTCACTATTACCCTACAGTTTCTTTAGATTGTTCACCAGTTCTAAATAAGTGACCTTAAAAATCTAAACCTTACAGCACCCTCCAACATCCCTACTAACCTCTTCTTGGAGCTCTTCCCACATTAAATGCCTCAAGAAAATAATTTGCATCACTATTCTGAGTCATTCAGGTCAATGTCCTAGTCCACTGCTTCAGATTTAGTTTAAGAGGTCAACTGGCATCAGAAAAATCTCCTGCCCAGAGCAGGCAATGTGTGTGAGCTCTGCCTTGCCATGGTTATTACTTTGTGTCTCGAGGAAGGCAATCTGGAAAAGGTTCTGCACATCTTTGCTCTGTTTCAAAATTGATTTTTCTTCTATTAAATTTGTGGATTTCGGAGCTACTCAGTTAAGGCCAGCTTCCTTCTGCAGAACTTTATTGTACCTAAAAGCTGGTGAATGGCAGGAGAGGAGGCTGACCTTGACCCGTGCCAAGATGATCTTTTACTTGTTATTAATTTGTATTGAAGYAGTGCCAAAGAACCTTCATCCAGAATCAGAACTGCATTGGGCTGCACATGGGGAGGAGCTGGAGATGAAATTAAGTCTTTAACAATTATTCCAATTACTCTGCTGCCTGATCTATCACACCACATCACCAGCATTTTCCTCAGCACTCTGCACWCCAGTTTTCAGTATCTGTTAATCTGGACTAACATTGTTCCTGAGCCACTGACTGTAAGCTGTGCCTAGAAAAAAAATTGTGTTCTTTCTATGCATAATTTTGAACAACAAAATTATATTCAAATAAACAAAAAAGATCATATTGCACTTTCATGTATTTGAATATGGGTAAATACATAKGTGATCCCCTTCATAAGGCCTAAAGATACTACTGTCWTTTTTTTTCTCTTACTTTCTTTTACCTTTCTAAGCAATGTTCAATACTTGGGTGTGCACTTAGCTCTCTGAATGCTCACACTCAAGCCATGCAAGAATTTACTGAKAGAATAAAAAATTTTACCTACAATTTCTATATCCAAGGCTGGTATGATAAACTCTGGATGAGTTCTCCTCCTTTGTGTTGATCTACAGTTTTAACCGAGTTTAACTGAGCCAAACTGCTGAAAAAATATGAAAGAACTAAAATACAAAAGCAGAAAGAGAGAACTGCAAAAATATTCTCTGTTTAAGGACAGTGCCAGTGCAGTGAATACAAGTATGATTAGGACTGGTAAGGCAAGAAAATAATTGAAAACAAACAAAAAAAAGAAACAGAAAAAAACAAACAAACAAACAAAAAAACCCTCAAAAATACCTGAAAGAAGGTAGAGAACTTAAACTTCAGTATTGAGGGTGCTAAAGCATACCTGAAAATTGTATGTGTGGAAACAAAGAATGACAAGTTCCTTAGCATTTCMAAAATCACCACTAAAACATCAGCAAGGCTTTAAGGGCCTTTTCAGTTACAGCTTCCTCAGATGTTCACCTCAGTGCTGCAAATATATGCTTTTACTTTCCCAAACACCCCCAAAAAACCCCTGCATTCAAAACTTGTACATTTTTTACTACACCTTAGTCTCCATTCAGTATTTTTTCAATTTGAGCTCGTTTTAAGCAATCAGTGCTGAAAGCTGGCACTCAGTGTAATTCCAGAWCTGATTCCTCTAAAACCTTCATCAGTGATGATCCAGCATGAGCAGTGAGTGACTATAGGGGAAAAAAAAAAGCTAAAAAAACTAAAAACATAATCACAACTTGATCATGGTGTGATACAATGTATGATAAAACATGTGATATGTGATATGATGGTGCACAGAGGMAAGGACTGTATTTGTAAATCCAGGAGCTGCCTTCTAGTTCTTCCAACTGTAGCCTGAAATGCAATAATTACTCAATTTTTAATCTACTTAATCCATGCGTTTAATTTTAATCTACTTAACTGTTGTAGTACTGCATGTCGGTAATTTTACTTTCTTAATAGAAATATCAGGTGGCAAAGCAGATCTTCTTAAAATCTGAGTATCAGGTGACTTAAAATGTTGACCTGACAAGACTGTTGTTTGTCATGTCATGTAACTGAATTCAATTACACAACTTAATCTTTGAGMAGATTTTCACAATTTTTTTTCCTGACTGAGTATCCTCAGCAGAGTTTCATTTTTTCTGCCTCAGGCTGATATTGGATTGAAATTCCTCAGGTCTGAAATTCCTCAGGTCCTTTATCCAGGTTTTTCACCTTTTACCATATTAGTTTTCTTCAAATCAGGTATATGGAATTTTCTTACTAATCAGTAACTTTAAAAAAATTGTTAATACTTTTTTTAATATTTTTTTTTTCTTTTAAGAATCTCATCTATGAATCACTGAAGTCCAGTGATTTTTGAACAGTCAGTTCTAACAGCTGTTCTACAGCAGATCTAAAATTATTGTCTGAACAGAGAATTGCCATGAATATTTTTTTTTCCTGTCGTGAATTTCACCTGTTTTTGGTCTTTCACACATTAAATATTTTTTCTTAATTCCGATGCCCATAAATTATACATGTTGACATTGATATTTTCCCTATGAAATCTGTATAACTTCTAGCCATTAATTCCCAGTTACCAATATTGCCCTTTTTTGTCCCCTTGTTTTTGTTTCTTTCACTTTATCAACTTACYCACAGGTTTTTAATGTCTTTTTTATTATTTCTTTCAGCATAAAGCTATCCAATTTTCATTAAAGAAGACAGGRGCCATTTTATATCCTGATACTGCTCACCAGAGAGAGAGATAACAAGGGTTGTAAGAGAATGGTAAGTAAAATTGTTAGCAGTTTGATAAATAACAAATGTGTAAAATGTTAGAAAATATCTATTTATTGAAGTGAAATTATCGGGTTAAAATGCTAATAATGAGAACTTCTGAGATGAGACTTTGCTGCTTGTTCAGACTGTTTGCCTGCTCGTGTGCCTGTCCTGAGGAAGGTGTGTGGGTACATGTGTGGGACTTAAAAACACACTGCAGACACTCATTATGCACTTTCCCATATCTCACCAACCATCCACTGCAGCCCATGACTCACTGATTGAGCAATGATGTCCTCAAGGGGACTTGATGGCCTCGTATGAGGGGCACCCTCTGCTCCAGAGTAGCTTTTATACATTAGGATGGCAGTCTATGAACATTTGCAATTTTTTTTTTTTTTTTTTTTTTTTTTTTACTGAACAGCAATTTAGAAATATTTAGTGCTGGTTTTGCGTGTCTGCTGTCCATTGAGATGTACGTGAGCTCAGCACTGACAGCCCAGGGTAGGCTGAGCTCACATTCACAAACGAGTCATTCCAGTTCCTCTTGTTCAGCTCCACGCCTCCTGAATGAAGAATTTTCAGGTTGCGTGCTGCCYGAGCCCTTCTTACAAAGACATCATTTTTTAACAACTTTGCAATCTTTTTGTCATTAACACGGACTGATATAGAAAGGCTGCCCACTAAAAAGCCATCTTCTACCCAAAMTACAACTCTCTTAATTACWGAATATATCAACATTCCACARATGATAAAATTTCTGCTGCTTCTTTTATTTCCCTGGCCATGTTCATTTCTATTTCCTGCCTTCAAAGGAAGATCTTTTGAAGGAAATTACTGATCACTTTAATTGGGCAACGACCTCCCCCATATTCCTAAATCATTACTTGCTTTTCAGATTTTAGGTCTGAAAAGATACTCTGCTCTGCTGGCTGCTGTAGTGTTGTTGATATAAGAGTGCTGTCCATTAAATAGTATGAAATGCCGTGGACCTCTCCAATTCATTTGGTGAGCCACATCAGCTSTGATTTTCCTGCACTGCCATTGAGYTCTCATTATGATGATGGGCACTTCTTGGCAGATATTCCAGCTGAATGAAGCTGCTCCTTTTGGCTAAAAGCTGGGACCTCTCTGTTCTTGTCCCTCAGCAGCTGCTCAGAATAACTCCTGATCCTTTTCTCTCCTGTTTTACCCCCAGATTTCCTCTCTGCTTTCTACTCTCCTTGAGTAAATAGGTTTCCTCTCTGTTATCTACATCAATGGATAAATCAGACTCAGGATCTGAACTGTATTTCCATGGAAATTTCACAATTCYTTGCAGCTCCTGCTCACTGCTGAGATCTTCATCCCCACTCCTKTGCCCTAACACACAAACAAAACAAGCTGTTACCAAACAGGGACTGCAGAGTTTATTAGAGAGTGCTCTGACCCATCCCGTTTGGCTTTGTTGGGAAACCATGTCATTACAGCCAAGTAATCCCACTTCCATCAAAAACAAGCAGAGGAGGATCACATATAGCTCCTGACTTAAATGTGTCATAYAAGCGTCAAGAACAAATCCTCTAAAATTCCCAATTGTTTCTTCTTTGTTTCTGGAAGCSTTTTGTAGCATCAAGGACCTTTTTGTCACTGTTTTATGGTCAGTTGGTGTCTGCCAGGACCCTGAAGCCTTTTTTTGGCTCATGGATCCCCTCAGGGTACAGACCAGTGTGAGAGGTTGATCCTCTTTAGGTCGAGGTCTTTGCATTTCCTTTTGTATCACACTCTTTCAAAAAGGACAAATCACTCGAAATAAAATGCTTAACCTGTGTATTCAATTTGCTTTAGGTGGCTGGAATGTGGATTATTGCATTTTATCTCCTTGGCACAGTAGCAGGTGAGAAATTGTGTCTTTAAAAACTACCACTAGGAAGTGAATTCAGATGAAATGGTATACAGGAGAYGATGACTGTTATTTTCCTTTACATTGAAATTGTGGTGTGATTTGTGGGTCATTGTATGACAATGCCTATTGCTGTGCATAGAACTAATGCTAAAAGGCTCTGCTGCRTTTGAAATTTATTATTAAGAGCACAAGAGACACAAATCTGTGCTGAAAATCCACAGAGAAATTCAATCACGTGTCCTTCCTCTATCAAGGCAATCCAAGATCTGTCTTTATTGCTCTAAACAAGGAACTGATCAGCAACAGGGTGCTCAGCACAACAGTGCTAAAACATAAAAGTTGAGTGTAAATGAGCATGAGACCCATTTGATCTAGGAAAAACTACAATATTGAAGRAAATGTTCATATCATTCACAGTACAAGGTTATCTTCACCCTTATGGCAGAGACACAAAGCTTTGGAGCAGAAAGCACACAGAAGCAATTCTAACAAGCATTTCTTACAAGGCTGGCTTTTAAAAATAAAGTGAACTAATCCTTTACAAGCCTACAAACTGGTGTCAAAACARACTGTGGGTCTTTACTTGGTTTATCCTCAATTTATTTAGCTYCCCTCGAGTTCTCACTTCAGGCAATACACATAAAGGAAACAAAAATTACTCTCAACCAATTTCAAAATCAATCATGAAATTAAGTCCTTAGTTTTTTTTTTGCTCTTCAAACTGCTGTTGTCTCAAAAGCATCATCAAGCATAAAAGAAGCACACATTTAAAGAAGTTTTTTCTTCTCTGCTAGGTAAAGAAGTTTGCTACTCCAGGCTTGGCTGTTTTACAGATGACCCACCCTGGTCTGGGATACCAGGGAGGCTTCTGACAGGCTTGCCTGATTCTCCAGAGTCGATGAACATCAGCTTCTCTCTCTACACCAGAGAAACAGGAAATAACTCACAGGTGACATTTATTTTTAACACCAAAAGCTGCCTGAACCTGAAAATGTTTGTTAACATTTTACAAAGCCTGTGTCAGTGACCTTAGGCAAACAAGTCAGAATCAGAAGATGGTTTGAAGGTATCRTAATGAATGTATAGAATGAACTTTGGGGTGAAGCACAAAAAAATTGTTATGAATGAGGTGTAGGGCACAATTTCGTGGTATTTTCCTGAGCGAGGATGTAGGTTAGGGCAAACCTTTTTTATGAATTGAAGCAGAGCAGATGGGAGCACAAGAGACCACATGGGCACAGCTACTTTGGAAAGAGTGGTGGAACTGAGAAAGAAGAGACAGATGGATCCCTGAGTTCCAAAAACCACAAACTTTTTCCTTTCAGAGTAGTCCCTTTAGTCCTAAGGGGATGACTTAGCTGACTTGTAAAATGTTTTAAAGTATGAATAGATAAAACTTTATTTTTTTTTTTTTTTAAACACACAGGTGATCTCGGCGATAAACTCCTCAACCATCCCAAAGTCCCATTTTTCCTCACAAAGGAAAACCTCCTTCATCATTCATGGATTTGGCAGCACCGGAAAAACAGGCTGGGTGGTCGAAATGTGCTTGGTATGAAAGAATATCCTCTGATTTCATCAGCCCTGACAGCAATCCTTTGGGCATTAATGTCCACCAGGCATTTTACAGTTCATTAGGCGGCAGAAGATACAAATTTCACACAAACCAGAATGTTCCCACTCAGGAAGACACAGAACAGTCGCGGCTCCTTGGTCCTCTCTGACATAATTTTTCTCCAGAATTTCCGCTCCCAAACCCTGCAGATGAGATTAAAGCAATAACTTTGATAGAGTCAGCTGTCCCTGACTCTACACCCTATTCCASATTTGGGTTTTGACACCAATTCACTGCTGCTCCTGTTAGCAGCAACTGATCCTTCCTGCAGTCCAACTTGTACATCTCGAGTTTCAATCTATAAATACTGCTCTGGTTCACTACTCAGCTCCTAGAGATAAAAAAAAAGCAACCAAACAAACAACAAAACTAAAACAAACACAGGAACACCACCAAGTCTTCTGGTTTTGGTTTGGTTTTTTTTGTGGTTTTTTTGGTTTTTTTTTTTTAAAGAATTCAGTGAGGAAATATTTCAAATATGAAATGTGGAAGCTCCCACAAAACCAGGGGACGGTACCTTGGTTCTGGAAGATGAGCAAGATCTGCTCTGGTTGCTGCTGCTTCTGTGCTGGCAGTGAAAGGCCAAGCTAGAAAAACACACCACTGGATACCAAGTCACAAATCTATGAAAATTTTAATTTTTATTCCAGAATATTAAATTTCCTTTTTTTTTTTCCAGTTGAAAAGAAACAGCAATTCTTTCTGGCTCTCTGCACCACAAACTTATGGTCCCCACACAAAAGGAAAGAGTTCTGGATGCTCTACTGTTTCACTTCTGTTTTCCTTGTACACATTCAGCTGTTTTTCATTGATTAAATTTTTTTTTTACTACTCCTTTTGCAATCTCAAACATTCAGTGAGCCTTAGTCACAGAGACTAACACACGATTCTTCCACTGGAAAAATCACTGATCTCTGCAAGTCTGTGCCCAGCACCGAAGTAACCAATGCATCCTTTGCTGAAATAAAACTTTCCTGCCCTCTCCAAGATTTTTCCAATCTGACATGACTTTTTAACTTTTAAAGCCCCTTGGTAAATAAGACTACTTCTTACACAACTCAGTTAAACTCCCAACATCCCTCAAAGAAATACAATGTACAATACTGTACATGGAATCTACTGTGCAGTTCTATGGTGTTTCAGAAGTATTTCAAATACAGAAGTGGTGTATAATGAAAARTATTTTTATTACAGTTTTCAGAATTGATTTTTTTTTAAAGAATGGCTTGTTATATTCTGTCTTGTAAGAAGATGCATATTTCAGTGTGGTACAAGCTACAGTGAAGACTCCCATTTAGTAAACAACGAGAAAATTCATCATTATTATTATGTTACCTTTTAATCCTTATTCTGCTTTGAGTTGAATCTTTGATTATTTTTTTTCTTTTCTTTAAATGTTTTTCTTTGTGGATTCCCAGCTGTTACTGGARGTGGAGAACATCAACTGCATCGCTGTGGATTGGAAAGAGGGAGCCAAAGGCACCTATGTCAGTGCTGTCAACAACATCCGTGTATTGGGCGCTGAGGTCGCCTATTTCATCACAACTTTGAAGGTAAAAATCCTCCTTTTCCCACCTGAAACCCCTCCGTGGGCTCAGTGGGGTTGTGACACCGCTGTTTTGGGGTTGGACTTTGTCCACCACGGTCAGGCAGAGTTGTGCAGTTGAGATGCGGATAATTAACGCTAGTTATGGACTTCTCACGGCCAAAGGACACGAATTGAGCTGTGTCTGGGAAGATGAGCCAATTAATTGGGGACCGGTAGGTGGCAACATTTCCATGCGATGCCGGCATTCCATGGAAATGAGGAGAGATCGGCGCTTTTAGGAGTTTTACCAGCATTATATACAAGTGCCAAAATGCGTTAATATCTCACCAAAACGAGCAGTAGCTGSCTTGTGGGATAATTCCATATTTATGGGATAGTTCCACGATAAACTGTCCAGTTTTTTGTTGACTTTCGGGTTCCCAAAGGCAGGTGCTCACATTTACACACAGCACAGAGCCGATCAGCGGCAAAGTTTGTGCATTTCAGCATTTCCCACGGATTTCAGAAAGACTCGTGAGTGTCTGGAGCAGCTGAAAACCAGAATATTGCCTGGCACTGGAGTCAATCCTGCCCAGGAGTTGCTGATCTTAAAATCCTGCAAGAGGTGGTTCAGAGCCCATGGGGCAAAGTGCCAAACTTGCAAGAGCCTGAGGATCAAAGAACATTTTCCCAGATCCAGCTGGGGTGCAATTTACTGTTCCTTCCCAGGAAATTCATATCCAGCCTCACAAAATTGGCTTCTGGATCTTTCTCATTTATGTATAAACACCAGGTCATTTGAGGATGGGTTCAGCATCTCATTTACTATCTCATTACTGCACCATTTTCAGTCTAAGGTGCTCTTTCTTGTCTTACAGAAATGCATAAATGATGCTTGGACTTCCTTTTTTTCCCCCAAATTACAAAATTCTGGAGTTTGATTGTAGGAAAGGTTAAACTGCCTTGTAAATGGAAGCATTGCATTAAAATGTGTTCAGAGAAATCTGCCATCTGAAAATAAAGGCAGACAGGCCCATTCTCCAGACCTGYTTTAATTTTGGTATGCACATTACAAAACTTCATGTAAAAATCTCAAGCAATTAGCAGCCTTGTTGTGAAATATGTCCCCTGTGTTCAGCCTGCACACTGATTAATCTCCCTTTTCACCTTGAGTGGCAGTGTAATATCTCAGCAGGGCAGGGCTTGTACAGGGGAGACCTRGAGGAGAATGGATTTCACCCCACCTGAGACTGGCACTGAAAATATTATTCATGATGTGATCACATATCCTAAATAGGCATGGAGAATAGATATGTGATCAAAAAGGGCTACAAAGTGGAATAAATAAAGAAAAAAATACGATCATTTTTATGGAAGATGGCATTAGGCATCGATCCAAATGGGAAAGATGGTTCGTATTTTTCACCCAGGATAATACAGCAAGCATATGGCAACACTGCAACAGTGAATCCTTCATCACTATTCATGTAAAATTCCAGATGGGATCGTTTTCCTGTCAATTCTTCGTGTAATTTAAACAGCAATTAACTCAAGGAGCTCACACCCTGCTTGCTATGCAGAAAGTCGGTCTAGCTGTTCCCAGAGGCCCATAATGTCAGACCTTCTCTTYGCTTGTTATTCAAAGCCTGTGTTCTTATCTCCTACCACGGCCACTCTGACGGTCAGAAAATGTTCCAATACTCCCCTTCCGAGATCCATTTAATTGGCCACAGCCTGGGGGCKCACACGGCGGGAGAAGCGGGGAGGAGGATCCCAGGAATCCGACGGATCTCAGGTAGGATGCTCACCTGGATGCAGAGATAACTGCGTGTGTTTGCAGGGAAAATTAAATTGCAACACTCTGTAGACTGGTCTTGCAACAGGTCTGCAGGAACAGAACATTTTCTGGAATGAAAATTCCAGAACATTTTCTGGAACGAAATTATTGGCAGTGCTGGAGAGAGCTGTCATCAGAACAGGCAAAATTTGTGCTTCTCAGAAATAAGGGTAATTATTGCATCTTCTTTCTCTGTTTAGGTTAAGTATCCTTTAGTGGAAGGACAAGTAGAGCTAATGTGTTTGTAACATTAAAATAATTCACTGGGTTACATCAAGCCCTGCACAAAGCCAAAGCAACAAGAACCCTTAGTTTTCCCTATTTGTAAAGTTTTACAGGCCTGAAATAAGCTCAGAGATAATGAAATGCCTCCTTCCTGGTAATATAATACGCCATTATATAATCTGTTGAAAAAATATTTTACTYCTCTTGGAATAAGTTTTCAAAAATGTTCACAAAACTGCACTATTTGCATATTTTTTTTATGGTTTCACTTGGAATTCACATCATTATTTGTCTTGTCGTCTGCAAAACTAAACCTCTGATTTCATAAGCTGGCRAAACACATATTAACAAATGCAATATTTCTGTCGTCCCTCAACCAATAAATATCGGGTTTTTTTTCCTAGGTTTAGACCCTGCTGGGCCCTATTTTGAAGGAACTCCTCCCGAGGTGAGACTGGATCCTACAGACGCAAACTTTGTTGATGTTATTCACAGCAACGCCGCTCATTTCCCCGCTGCAGGTGAGTGTCCCTGTGCCAGCAGGAACCTGCAGGGACGGGCACCAGGACTCTGACACCTTCCCTTCATGTCTCAGGGTTTGGGATGTACAACACMACTGGGCACCTGGACTTTTACCCAAATGGAGGAACTGTGATGCCTGGATGCACTGATTTAATTGCAGAGACCAATAAAAGTGATTTTGAAGCYGTCATCGCAGGTAAATACAATTCCAATTGTGTTGTACTTTACTTGTATTCAGTTCTGGAGCATGGATTGTGAAAGCTGCCATCTGCTTGGGAGAAAACAGGAAAACAAAATGGCTTTTTTTTGGCTGTTTACTCCTAAGTTGGATAGGAAGTAAAAAACAATAAAGGYTGGAACAGAACAGAGCTCCACAGAGAATGCTGTGGGGAGCGGAGGGGTCGTACCCGCCCAAGCTTTGCTTCTGTAGTTTGAAATTGGATGCAAACCCCCAAAAAAGGCAGAAAACATGAATTCTGCAGGTCCAGCAACCCCAGCAGGAGATTTTCCAGCCTGAGACAGGCCAAATCAGCAGCATGACAGCACCACCTCTGGTTTCCTGCAGTTGCTATGAAGAACATCCATCACTTATAAGGCACTGATAAAGTGAAAGCACTGAGTGTTTCCAGGGACTGCACATACCTCACCTCTGAACCTGGGAGTTCTCTCTTTTCAGAGATTTTGGGCAGGTTRGCAGCACATTGGTGGGGTCTCCATGGTCTGTTGAGCACCTAAAACTGTAATGAATTCCATCCTGTTATGACACCTCTCATATATATATATATATATTTAAAACTGTCTTCTTAGAAAGGGACTATTCCATCATAGCAGACCAGTGCATCTCACTTAGACAAACTAAACAGCAATTCCTCCTGCAACTAGAAATGCTCAGATTCAGWCCCAAAAGAAATTATTACAAGCCCATGCTCTGCTGTTTCCACGGTGAGACAAATGCAACTCTTACAGGGGATAAGGGGATGTTATTTCACCAAAGATCATAAACATTTCTCCCACAGACACCACAATCTTTGGGGGGTGCCACCACTCCCGCAGCCACGARTTTTACTTTGCAAGCATCATCTATCCCACTGGATTCCTGGCATATCCCTGTGAGACATACAAAAGCTTTGAGGAGGTGAGTGCATCAGCCCAGGAGGGGGTGAGGGTAAAGAAAATATTCCAGGTGTGTGGAGCAGGCAGCCCTTGGGTGCTGTGGCTGAGGTGCCCACAGCAGCTCCCATCTGCTGTTCCACTCTGGAAAATGAGTCCTGAGGCATAAACAGGGACAGAAATTCAAGCTCATGGGATTCTCACCCCAGACCTTTAGGCAAATGGAACACAAGTTGGGTAGATATGTCCTATACCTGAGTGGAAGGAGATACACTTAGAATCTCCAGGATCCTCAACTGCTCTCTAATTCACATTGGGCACTGATTAGAGCGCCTAAATACATGCACTTAGCAATGATGCTGCTTTCATTTTCCCCCATTTCCAAGTTCAAGCAAGTTCCCAGCCACTAGGAAGGTAAAACTGGCCTATATTTTGCACCAGAATCTACCTGAAATATATTTGAACTAACAAGTTTCAGACTATTACCATACCCAGATGTCAAACCTGCTCATTCTGCACCTTGTGGGGTGCAGGAGCCATTATCTAAAMCAAATTTATYAGTGTTTGGTGTTAAGTTATGAAAMCATTCAGCACTGCCAAAGCTTTGCAAGATCAGAACAGCGTATTGAGCCTTAATTTCACCAGGGCCAGCATGAAAAAAAAAGATTCCTCATTAACTGATGCTCTTCTTTTCCCTAGGGAGACTGCTTCCCATGTGCAAAGGAGGGATGTCCAATGATGGGGCACCATGCTGACAAATTCCCATATAAATTGGAGAGAGTAGACCAAAAGTATTTTTTAAATACAGCAGCAGATGAGCCTTTTGCTAGTAAGTGGAGAAGGTTTGTTACAGCTGTTCACAAGTTTGCAAAGTGAATTTATTGACGTGATTTACAGCCATGCTCCTCTGCTGCTTCCATAAACAATTGCTAATAGCTCTGACAGAAAATACTGCATTACTTATCAAAATTCAAGCTCACCAAGGATAATCTGGACTTATTTTTGCTTTTATTTATGCAGCTTGGAGACAGCAAGTATTTATCAAACTGTCTGGTGTAAAGAAAACGAAGGGAGACATAAACCTGGTTTTCTACGACACACAGGGGCACACAAAGAAATACGAAATTGCCAAGTAAGTTAAATTAATATTTCCTTATAGCATTTAATGCTGCTGTCATTAATCTATGCAGGGCCCTGTGCTCTTCTAAAAAACAGTGAAAAAATGCAAATTTCTGTTGCAAAAAAGGGAAAAACTGAAAATTTCTGGAGAATTGATTTATTTCACTGTTAAACTCAAAGTCACTCCTTTCATTCTCTTCTCAGCGGAGACCTCTCTCAAGATGAAGTTTACATAAAATTCCTTGATGTTGAAATCAACCCCAAAAATACTACAAAAATTGAATTTCTCTGGAACAAAGCCGTATTCTCTCTGCTCTGGGCAAGACTGGGAGCAGAAACAGTCAATATAATACATGGAGAAGATGGACATAGGTAAGAATTTCCCATTCACAGCTGAGAAGGCGAGTGAAAAACTCTGGGAGACAAGAATGAAAAATGGTCTTAAATTGGACACATGGTTGGTAATCAACAATGTGAATTTCAATTAGGCAAGGACAAGYATTGCACTTTGGACAGAAAAATCGGATGTTTGAGTAAGCACCAGGGAATAATTGGAGAACAATACAGCAGTGAATAATTTAAAATGTATCATTTTTCTACAGCAAAACAATTACAAACCGAGATAAAGATATTAAACCTCAAATTTTACAGCTGGTCCCCAAAAGAACGAAATTCAGTTTGTTAWTGTTAATGTGCAGATGCAATGATCTGTGCAGAAGGTTTTTAGGAAGGTTTAAATGGGATTATGGGTTGGACTAAAAACCCTCAAGGTGACAGCTGAAACCCTTTCATTTTTCTTTGTGCAAAATGAGAAAAATCTTGATTCAATCATATTTTTTCTTGCCAGGTCGACTTTTTGTGGCCATGGGACTGTGGCATACGGAGTTCCCCAGTTACTCACACCTTGCTAGAGATCACCAAGGTCTGCCCATGGCAGCTGAGTAAACCCTCAGCCTTGTGCAGGGAAATGTTGGCACATAAGGCAATTAAAGCAGTGTTTAAAAAAATCAAGTTTGTTTCTCCCTTTGGTTTTTTTTCCCCATTCTTTGCAAACTTCTCAGTGTTCTCTGTGTTTGAACCAAGTTTATTGTGCTTGCAACTGTGGAGCAACCAGAAATCACAGGTGCTAAAATCCATTTATAACACGGCTCAGTCTAACCCTGCCAGCTCCTCAAGGCGAGAACGGAGTCCCACCACCCTGACTGAAAACTGCAAACTTTCTTGAGGCAGCACATGTCCTCAGGACACCCCTGCAGCTCAGGATTTTCCCAAACACCTCCTGCCTGCAGCCTGAGCTGCTGCTCAGAGCTTTCTCTCAGGAGGCACTCGGGGATGAGGCAGGAGCAGCACAGCACCAGGTTATTCCTGCAGG